GATGCCCTTTGCTCCTAGTAGCGCTCTTGCTCCTAGTAGTAGGGCCAAGAGCCCCTAGTAGCGTCCTTGCTCCTAGTAGCCATTCCCTTTGTAGTGGGGCCAGGAGCCCCTAGTAGCGTCCTTGCTCCTAGTAGTGATGCCGTTTGTTCCTAGTAGCTTCTTGCTCCTATTAGCGATGCCAGGAGCCCCTAGTAGCGTCCTTGCTCCCAGCAGCGATGCCCTTTGTTCCTAGTAGCTTCTTTCTCCTAGTAGCGATGCCAGGAGCCCCTAGTGGCTCCTAGTAGCGATGCCAGGAGCCCCTAGTAGCGTCCTTGCTCCTACTAGCGATGCCCTTTGCTTCTAGCTTCTTGCTCCTAGTAGCGACGCGCTTTGTTCCTAGTAGCTTCTTGCTCCTAGTAGCGATGCCAGAGGATTTAGGCTCGAGCCCACCGTCCCTACGGGGACCTGGCAATCCCGTCGCCCCACGCAAGTGGGGTACCGATCGAGCCATGGCATGGGACACTTTGCCCATTACTGCATCCTTTGCTAGCCACACGCTTTGGAAAAGAGCTGGTTATTTTCGTATTACTCCTGTCCAAGTTTTGCAGCGGACTTTGCATTTCACCGTGTTGTCTGCTACTGACGCCGAAGGGGTTACGATTAAGCTGAAGGTCGATCGATCTTTGCTGCCTCTGTTCCATACAGCACATTCGAGCGTGATTATGTTCTGGTACGAGTGCGGCAATCTTCGGTTTGGATGCCAGCGACCATTACAGGCATTTCCAGAGGATGAGTTTTTGACTAAAGATCAGCCCAATATCCCAAGGAGCACATGGGATCCTACCTACAAGCCGATGATGGAGGGTTTTGAGCCCTGGGCCCAACATTTCGAGTCCTCTGAGTTATGTGCAGGGTATGGCCTGGTCTCTGAGGCAGATGAGCTCCATGAACCATGGATGGCCCCAAAGTTGGCCCGGCTTTTGGCTCAGAACAGTCTATACACCTACTCAGGCAGAAATGGACACTTCCCATGCACCATTTCAGACATAATCAAGGATACGAATTCTTCTTGGCCAAAAGCACGCACTGTCAGGACATCATCAGGCGTGTAAAAATCTCTTTTTGCGTCCCACTCGGATGGACTTTCTCCAGGGGATTTATGTCCCATTTGTATACCAGCTTCCATCCATCTCATCAACAATGCCACGATTGGAAACACTCCGTACGAATTGGAGAAGCATCCAACCCAGGTCCCCCGATATTGCCGGCTACATGTCAACCTTTGTCTCTTAGTTTGATCAATCCCACAACCATCTATCGTAAAGAAGATGACTTTCTTGCTTTAGATACTGACATCCTCTGCTTAGCAGAAACAGCAGCCACTAAGACTGTCCAGATGGCTTTTAACCAGGCTCTACGCCCCACACCGTATCAGGCTTTTTGGTCAGCTCCGGTACCTGATAAGGTGGCAAAAGTTGACCCCGCTTTCGGCCACTCCTTGCGGGGTGACAATTTAGGTACCGCAATTATGACACGCCTCTCTTCTCGCGATACACGACATACCTTTCCACCATCAACTTGGGACACATGTCGATTGAATAGTGTCATTATTTCCACTGGCATTTTGGACTTCCTTGTGGTGTCAGCCTATTTCCAAACTGGTAAGTCAGCTGAAGCCAGGGTTGTCAACAATCAACTGTTACATGATATATGGTTACACGTCACAACCACTACCTTGCCATTTATTGTGGCTGGCGACTTTAACACTGACGTCCGAAAACTCGACGCCTTTTCCCTCTTTCAGCAAAGCGGTTGTATTGA